CTGTTGACAGGCAGCTGGGAGGAAACATGTCAACTACCCAACACCCGTTTCAACCCCAAAAAGGCTGGACCACTGTACAACAGCCGCATGCACTGTGCGCTGTTGCAGGACATCTGCCGCATGGCCCTATTCACTTTAAAGGTTTGCGTTCGTAAGTGGTCATTTTTGCCACGCGCCATGTGTAACAGCCCTGTATGTCCTGCTTCAGGTAAGTGGTCGTGGTCCAGTAAGGGCCCTTCCATACCAATGCTGTGTTGATGTGCTTTTATGCAGCTTAGGGCCCTTTCACATTGATGCATTCTTATTGACTTACAATAGAAGGTGCCTTTTTTGATACGTTTTTCAAAAACTGCACCAAAACGTTCTTCCATTGTAAATCAGTAAAGCATGCAGGACTTTTCAATGCACAAAGCACCTGCAGTGTGAACAGTTACCCTAGGTTCACATCTGTGCGGGTGGTGCCGCTGCGGATCCACTCGGAAATCTGTGCAGCCGCACAATACAGATTTTGCCTTTTTTTCAGAAACAGTCTGTTAGATTATCCACCACCTTATTGCCATATTGTAAAAAAAAAAAAGGCAGGGAGGTGGATGTGTATTAAATCACAAACGGGCAGCCAGTGCGATTTGCTCGCTCCCTTTCCTCTGTTGTGAATGGACCGATTGTTTGTAGGCACAGCCGGAAGGAGGGTCGGCGGATTGAGGGCCAGTTCACACTACATGCGTTTCAGTTTTATTTTTTTCTGCATCCAAAACGCACAGAAAGTAGGTGATATGGTTGTCAATGTCATAGTTCACATCAGTGCTTGCAGTTCCAGTGCGTTCTGGGTGCAGAAGATAAAGTAGAACATGCTGCATATTTTCTGCACAGAACTGTACTGGAATGCGGTAAAACGTACCAAAACACACCAAAAACGCACTGAAATGCACGTCTGTATTTAAATTGAAGAAAAAGAGAAGGGAAGAAATGAACTGGAATACATAAAAAAAACAATGGAATGGGTCAAAAATACACAAAAAATGTGCCAAAAATGCGTCAAAAACCTGTATGCCAAAACACATGCAGAACGCATCTGGACTGCACTTTTATAGTGTGAACCGGCCCATAAGGTGGAGGTTGGGGAGGCCTAGACAGCAGACACTTACTATTGTACTGCTCTCCATCCCTTCGCCAACACAGTAGCCTCCTGCTACAGCCAAATATTTCATTTTGATTCCTCAGTCCGGAGCACCTGCTGCTATTTTTCTGCACTTCAGTTCCTATGTTTTCTTGCATAGACATGGAAACAAGGCTAAGCGACTCAACTATGCAGGAAAACATAGAACTGGTGTACACAAAAATGGCAGCAGGTGTTCTGGAATCAAAATGTGAAATATTTGTTGGCCCACGTTTATTGAATAAACTAAAAGTTCACTAAACAGTCGCCCATCTAGGGGATTTTCACCATCAAAATAGGTCATGGAAAATACGAAACCACTTGGCTCTCTCTTCAGCAACTCCACTCACAACTCATATCTGGAGCCCCGCACTCTGCAGATGTGTGAACCGTGTGTCTCTTTCCTACTTTTACACAGTGGCAGGGCTTCACACGGTCACAAAAAACAAACCAAAAAAAAAAAAAATATTATATATATATGGGGAATGTTTAGCTCAGTGGTAGATGCGTTTGCCAGTGAGTTCACACCAGTCAGGAACTATACTTCAGGGCTTGGTAGCCCACTTTTATTAAAAAGAAAGACAAAAACAAACGTCCAACATAAGTTTTCCCATGCAGGGGTTCTTCTCCAGTAACATATACACAGTCCAAATGAAAATACTAGCCCATCTGGCTACTCTTCAGAAGCACTGCTGCTATAGACACTGGTCCTTCTCACCACCAGCTCTTCCAGACACACAGCTTAGAGCTTCTCAGATGCACACGGCTCCTCTGGCCTAGTCCTCAGGCCATTAACTCGGACGCACACAGCTCCTCTGGCCTAGTCCTCAGGCCGTTAAGTTAGACGCACACGGCTCCTCTGGTCTAGTCCTCAGGCCATTAACTCGGACGCACACAGCTCCTCTGGCCTATTCCTTAGGCCGTTAACTCGGACGCACACGGCTCCTCTGGTCTAGTCCTCAGGCCATTAACTCAGACGCACACGGCTCCTCTGGTCTAGTCCTCAGGCCATTAACTCGGACACACACAGCTCCTCTGGTCTAGTCCTCAGGCCATTAACTCGGACGCACACAGCTCCTCTGGCCTAGTCCTCAGGCCGTTAAGTTAGACGCACACGGCTCCTCTGGTCTAGTCCTCAGGCCATTAACTCGGACGCACACAGCTCCTCTGGCCTATTCCTTAGGCCGTTAACTCGGACGCACACGGCTCCTCTGGTCTAGTCCTCAGGCCATTAACTCAGACGCACACGGCTCCTCTGGTCTAGTCCTCAGGCCATTAACTCGGATACACACAGCTCCTCTGGTCTAGTCCTCAGGCCATTAACTCGGACGCACACAGCTCCTCTGGCCTATTCCTTAGGCCGTTAACTCGGACGCACACGGCTCCTCTGGTCTAGTCCTCAGGCCATTAACTCGGACGCACACAGCTCCTCTGGCCTATTCCTTAGGCCGTTAACTCGGACGCACACGGCTCCTCTGGTCTAGTCCTCAGGCCATTAACTCAGACGCACACGGCTCCTCTGGTCTAGTCCTCAGGCCATTAACTCAGACGCACACGGCTCCTCTGGTCTAGTCCTCAGGCCATTAACTCGGACGCACACAGCTCCTCTGGCCTATTCCTTAGGCCGTTAACTCGGACGCACACGGCTCCTCTGGTCTAGTCCTCAGGCCATTAACTCGGACGCACACAGCTCCTCTGGCCTATTCCTTAATGCGTTAACTCAGACGCACACGGCTCCTCTGGTCTAGTCCTCAGGCCATTAACTCGGACGCACACGGCTCCTCTGGTCTAGTCCTCAGGCTATTAACTGTCTCTTGCAGACTTTCATACTCCGGCTGCCACCTGCAGCCTCTCTGAAACCTGTAGGTGACCTTCTGTCTCTCTTGGGTGGAGCCCTGAGGTATTCCTAAACCTCCATTATAAGGCCTGTATGCACCTGGGCACACACCCTGCTGTTCCTCTCCTGTTCCTGGACACTGGGTTGGAGATTCCGTCCCGCCCAAGACACTACGGAATCTTCAAACTAGGGAGCCCCTTCCAGGACTACCAAAACCTGGAGAAAGCTGGAAAAGCAGTTTTCTCCAATTAGAACATCTGCTCCCTAGTCCTATATATATATATACATATATATATATATATATATATATATATATACAGTATATTGAGACATAGGATGCACATCTGTGACCACGTATGTACTGTTCTAAGCTCACATTTGCCATCTCATGCTGCCCCATTCTTTTCGCTCACAGGTTGAAGTCCATGACGTGGGGAGGGCGCAGCATCCCGGAGTTCGAGGTGAAGGAAGAGATGCCCATGGAATTGACCAGTATGGAACCCCGCCAGGAAAGTTTTGCTGATTCCTTCGAGATGTGTCAGAGTGGAAGGCAGGACAGCCCCTTCCTGGACTTATCTCCACAAAACTCCACAAGCGGGGTAAGAGCATCTGCATTCTGCCAGGTATCCTGATCTTTTTGCACTGACCATATCTGATTTCAGAAGGTCATATACCTTAAAAGTAGCCTGCCAGGGTGGCTATTGTGGGTCACAGCCGAGGCTCCCTTCCTGCAGTGCTCCTCTCCTGCCTCTGTATTGGCACCTTTTCTAGCGGCAGCTGTCAGCACTGAATTGCAGCCTAAACTTCAACCTCCAACCTCCCATCCTAACAGATTCCAGTAAAGCTCACCACACACACATTACAATCTGATTAAATATTTTCAACCAACAACTATATAGAGCAAAGGCCTGCCTGATTGAATACAGATTGATTAGATATGTTAGGAGGGTCTTCAAATTACATTGTATAACTAACTTTAGATTTACCAAAATTAAGATTGTATGGTCAGATTGTAACATGTATGGTGACCCTAGAGATGTGCTGCACATAAAATTTTAGTTCAAAGATCCATTCAGTTTTAGTTATCATGGCTTTGCTCCTTCAGAGGATCAAAGTTGCCTGGCTGTCATTCCAACCCTTTCTGAATTGCTGATCTGAAACAAGTATGCAGATCAAGGGCTGAGATTCACCTGTCCTGGGCCTGCCATAGATTTCCTTTAAAGTGAACTTGTACTGACTCTATGGCATTAAACTGTACTAGAATGTTGCAGGAGGATCTGCCCACTTTGACAGATGGGGATTGGGAAGAGGGTATCCAACAATTTCTTCCCCTTATGATTTCAGCCAGGGATAGGTGGATACAGCAAAAATTTCTACATTGGGTGTATTACTCCCCTCAATGCCTTTCTGCTATTTACCCCATTGGTGGATCCTACATGTCCTAAATGTTGTACTGCCACAGGTCTGTTCCTCCACATGGTTTAGTCTTGCCCTGTTCTGCAACCCTTCTGGAGGGACGTGGTGTCCGAGGTCAGTGCTCTTAGTGGGGTAATGGTGCCTCTGGACCCGTTATTGTTGCTGTTGGTGATACGATAGACACCAAACATCATAAACGGTTGTTTCTGCTTTATGTACTATACTATGCAAGGAAATCTATTATGCGCAAGAGGAAGGTGACTGCTCCTCCTACGGCACAGAAATGGCACTCTCTGGTTAACCACTTGCCCTCCGGCAGATATACCCCCCCTTAACCCCGTCATGTTGGCGCCTCCCGGCCCTTTAAGAGTTTCGAAAGGCAGGGCGGGGTTTAGGGTCATATGACCGCCGCGGTGCGCCGTCACGGCGGTCACATGATTGGGAAACGTCCCGATCGAAAGTGGAGAACGGGACCTTTGCGTGAGTACCGGACATGTGTGCTGGGAGCTCGCAGGGTGCGGGCGCTCTCGGCACATATGTCCTTTTTTAATAGAACGCAAATGTGCGGCCACACGGCTTCTAGGCCCAGACATTGGGAGGCCGCACATTTGTGTTTGGCCGGCGTGAAGAGGTTAATAACCAGGCCATTTTTTGCTATTCGCCATTGTGCTATTTCAACTGGTAATTGCGCGATCATGCAATGCTGTACCTAAAACGAAATCTATGTCTTTTTTTCACACAAATAGAGCTTTCTATTTGTGTATTTGAGCACCATTGGGTTTTTTATTTTTTGTGATATAAACAAAAAACACCAAAAATTTTCAAAGAAACCCAATATTTTTACTTTCGGTTATAAAAAATATATACTAAACTCAAAAGTAGTCATAAATTTAGGCCAAAATTTATTCTGCTACATGCCTTTGGTAAGAAAAAAAATCCCAATACATGTATATTAATTGGTTTACGTGAAAGTTACAGCGTCTACAAACTATGGTATATATATCGGATTTTACACAGCTTTTACTTTCTGACTGCCTATTACATTTCTGGAGGTGCCAGGACAGTACAAAAAACCCCTTTGACCCCTTTTTGGAAAGTAGACACCCCAAAGAATGTGCTGAGAGGCATGTTGAGTCCATGGAACATTTTATTTTTGCCACAAATTTTTGGAAAATGACAATCGAGTGTTACCTGCCTTAGTCGTAATTGCCCTATGAAATTTAACAGGGTTTTCGAAACCTGGGTCAAGGCTAGAGATCTGACCCTATAGGCCCCTGGGAGAATCATTTAGTCGTTCTGTTACTGCCCTCATCTTTCTCCCTTGTTCTTCTTTTCTCCCTTTTTTTTTTCTTTCCCTTCCTCTCCGCCCCCCTTTTTTTCTCTTTCCCTTCTTCCTGCTCTGATCCCCCTTCCCCTCTTTTAGAGTCTAGTGTTTCCTCCCCCTTTTTTTCCATTTCCTTCCTTGATGAGTAACTAACCGAAGGATTGGTTGACGGCTTGTGATACTTTTGTATTACCAGATGGGATTTTAGGGGATTTCTCATGTACCACGAGCTTTCTAGTGTTCTTGCTCTACCTGAATGCTTCATACACGGTGTTCTATATTTGTGAGCCGCCCTGCCAACATGTCCTACATTTGTGTTTGCACAATGACGCCTTCCTATGTGCCAACATGTTTTTCTTTGTTTCTTTTACTACATTTTTTTCCACAGTAAAAAAATACAAAACAAACTTCTCTGTAAAAAAAAAAAAAAAACTGTACTAGAATATACATAGAATAGATTGAGGAACCCCAAGGTGCCTTCACATATCTTCAGTGATACTCTACCATCCTTATAGTCGAAAATCACGGGGGGGTTCCAGAATGCAAAGACATTACTTGGGAAGTTGGTGAATGACCCCACCCCTTTTCTCTATTGTTCACATTGATGGATGGATAGGAAGGGGCAAACTTGTATATAAGCACAGGGGTAGGCAACCACAGAGAGGTGAAGATCTCCTCTATAAACACAGAAGAAACCAAAGATCACAGGGTGGGTGGCGCTCAACATTTTAAAGGGAACACAACCAAATCAAAGTGGGTATGGTCAATGTAATGGTAGGGAAATAATATAAATCATGCATTGGTTGGCAGTGTGTCCCAAGTAGTGCTTTCCTTACATTGGTGGTCAGTTAAAGCCCCCTTGTTATAGTACCTTCATTATATTGCTGCTTATCATTATAGTATTAGTAAGTACCCACAATATCACCATGTCCCTCCCATGCCACCATTATATCACCAATGCTATCCCTATATCCTCTGTCCTCCAGAAGCTCCCCCTCCCCCTTCCCCCATATGCAGATTGGAGCAGGGAACCATCAGCAGGACATAGCTACCTGTTCAGGAATCAGAGACAACTAGGTTATACTACCACCTTCGGGAGCAATTCCACTAGAGTCCTATGAGGAGCGACATCAACATTGGACATACAATGCAGTGTGGACTAAGAACAAAAATCCTGTTATTTAAGTATATCCAAAACTTTTTTTTTATAAAGTAGGGAATGGATAAAACCTCTGCCATGCCAACTGCATCCCACTGGGGAGATTTCCTGTCATTGTCATTGTCTATCCTGCAGACACAACAGAAAATGAGAGACTATCTCTACAAAGTGAGGGGACATCCTCTATTTCTGGTTCTGGTGACAACTCAAATGTTTTTTTTTCTTTATAGAGTGGCCACCAGGACAAATAGGGTAAGGCCTTGTTCACATAGGGTCATACTACACATGGAGTACACTATAGTGTATGCCTCTGCATTGCTGTGTTCACCGTCACCCCCCTATTCCGTGCATCCCTGTGCAGGGAGCCCAGTTGATGTCAATTGGGATGCAGCTGCTGCAGGGACACAGCCATTGCTCCAAATCTGACATCCAAACAGCTGAGAGTTGGTTGTAACACAGATAAATGGATCAAGATGGTGGATATGGCCGGTGACAAGTTCCTCTCATTGCCTGCAGGTGGTGTTTCCATGGATGACCCCCAGGGATGACTTCAGCTTCTGCTTCCTAGACCACAGTGTTGAAGGGTGGCGAGGATCTGGCAACATCTTCTTTCATGATTAATAATGGGATACATCACTCAGCTTGGAATTACTGGAAGTCAGGCTGAAGAAGAGCAGAGCAGACCCCTTAGATGTTGTACTTACACCCAGAGGAGGTTACTGCAGTGCGCCCCCTGCTGTTCCGGACCGTCAGGCCTTTTTCTTGATGTTTAGGACTGTTAGCACCATGTTAGTTGTGTTTTATAGATGAATGTTTTTTTTAAGCAGGTTATACTCAGAGTGCAAGAAGACTGCCCGGTTATAGGATCAGCATGCAAGAAGACAGTCTCTGTTATAAACCACAGGGTCTATAGAACATGCTAGCCAGGACATGGTGGTTTGATAATTACAAGTCATGCTCCCAATATTTGCCTGTATATTGCCACCCTATGGTGACCATGGAATAGAATATTGTTCTAAATCGCATTGGTAGTTCAGTCATATTATATAATCTCACGGGGCAGATTGTTCATGTTTTAGGTCCCAGGGTGTTAGCTCTGTCATGCTATATACAACAGGGGCAGACCATTCACGTTCTAGACTCTCTAGGTAGTTCTGTCATGTTGTATACACCACGGGGTGGTTCTTTAATGCTATATACACCACTGGGCAGATGTTCCATGTTCCAGACCCCAGGGGGGTAGTTCTGTCATATTATATATCCCACGGGGATGATTGTACATATTCTAGACCCCTGCAGGAAGTTAATTCATGTTATACAGTGGGACAAAAAAGTATTTAGTCACCACCAATTGTGCAAGTTCTCCCACTTACAAAGATGAGAGAGGCCTGTAATTGGCATCATAGGTGGACCACAACTATGAGAGACAAAATGAGAAAACAAATCCAGACAATCACATTGGCTGATCTGGAAAGAATTTATTTGCAAATTATGGTGGAAAATAAGTATTTGGTCACCTACAAACAAGCAAGATTTCTGGCTCTCACAGACCTGTACCTTCTTCTTTAAGAGGCTCCTCTGTCCTGCACTCATTACCTGTATCAATGGCACCTGTTTGAACTTGTTATCAGTATAAAAGACACCTGTCCACAACCTCAAACAGTCACACTCCAAACTCCACTATGGTGAAGACCAAAGAGCTGTCGAAGGACACCAGAAACAAAATTGTAGACCTGCACCAGGCTGGGAAGACGGAATCTGCAATAGGCAAGCAGCTTGGTGTGAACAAATCAACTGTGGGAGCAATAATTAGAAAATGGAAGACATACAAGACCACTGATAATCTCCCTCGATCTGGGGCTCCACGCAAGATCTCACCCCGTGGGGTCAAAATGATCACAAGAACGGTGAGCAAAAATCCCAGGACCACACGGGGGGACCTAGTGAATGACCTGCAGAGAGCTGAGACCAATGTAACAAAGGCTACCATCAGTAACACACTACGCCACCAGGGACTCAGATCCTGCAGTGCCAGACGTGTCCCCCTGCTTAGGCCAGTACATGTCCGGGCCGTCTGAAGTTTGCTAGAGAGCATTTGGATGATCCAGAAGAGGATTGGGAGAATGTCATATGGTCAGATGAAACCACAATAGAACTGTTTGGTAGAAACACAACTCGTTGTGTTTGGAGGAGAGAGAATGCTGAGTTGCATCCAAAGAACACCATACCTACTGTGAAGCATGGGGGTGGCAGCATCATGCTTTGGGGCTGTTTCTCCGCAAAGGGACCAGGACGACTGATCCATGTACAGGACAGAATGAATGGGGCCATGTATCGTGAGATTTTGAGTGCAAACCTCCTTCCATCAGCAAGGGCATTGAAGATGAAACGTGGCTGGGTCTTCCAACATGACAATGATCCCAAACATACCGCCCGGGCAACGAAGGAGTGGCTTCGTAAGAAGTATTTCAAGGTCATGGAGTGGCCTAGCCAGTCTCCAGATCTCAACCCCATAGAAAACCTTTGGAGGGAGTTGAAAGTCCGTGTTGCCCAGCGACAGCCCCAAAACATCACTGCTCTAGAGGAGATCTGCATGGAGGATGGGCCAACATACCAGCAACAGTGTGTGCCAACCTTGTGAAGACTTACAGGAAACGTCTGACCTCTGTCATTGCCAACAAAGGATATATAACAAAGTATTGACATGAACCTTTCATATTCACCAAATACTTATTTTCCACCATAATTTGCAAATAAATTCTTTCCAGATCAGCCAATGTGATTGTCTGGATTTGTTTTCTCATTTTGTCTCTCATAGTTGAGGTCTCCCTATGATGCCAATTACAGGCCTCTCTCATCTCTGTAAGTGGGAGAACTTGCACAATTGGTGGCTGACTAAATACTTTTTTGCCCCACTGTATATACCAGTAGGACACACTGTTCATGTTCTAGATCCCAGGGAGTAGTTCTGTCATTATAAATACTCTGAGGGGTAGACTGTCCATGTCCTAGATTCTGGAGGTAGTTTTGTCGTTTTATATACATCAAGTGAAAGACTGTTTATGTTCCTGACTAAGGATGGTAGTTGTGACATGTTACATACACCATGGCAGATTGCGTTCTAGATCCCTAGGGGAAAGTTCTGACATATTA